ACAAATCCCACACATGAAACACCCAATTTCAGAGACTGTTTTTCAATGTTACAAAGCTTTTCTTTGGTACCTTAACCATCTGTTCTGTTCACTGTTCATTGTTTTCATATAAAAGCAATCAGTGGAAACTAAAATGAACATTCACTGGTCTTTGATAACTTTCTTTCTCTCAAGTTTCTTTATACATCAGCCTGCACAAACTCCCTTGGAGAGCTATTTCACAAGGGCATTCTCTATAGCCTAGGTTAAGCCAGGTAACAGCAATGCAGTCCCTTCTCTACCAACAGAGGAAGGGGACCCAACTTGGAAATTGCTTCAGTTCAGCCAGATCAGTCCAGCCAAAAACACAGTCTTGAAAACACAGTTTTGACATTTATTTAAAAGTTGCTTCTCCTAAAAACTGTGTAAAATATTTGACTTCAGACCAAAAAATGCTGGACATGAAGCATGGTTTGAAGTGCACTGCTTGCAGGTACATGTTGGGCATTAGAAAATTGTTTGCTGTTTCCAATGGTTAAAAAAAAGTAATGCCAGACAATAAAACTCTTCCATCATTTCCTCAGTGGACTCAAGCTTCTCCTCAACAGATCGTGCTCGCAGAAGTACAGGTGGCCTTCCTACCCAGCTGGGCCATATTCAGCACATAATGGTGCCACGTATCGAGTCCTTTTTGGTGGATCTAAGGCACCGGCTTTGAGAACCACTCAGATACTGCACCCTTCTTCCCAAATTCACAGAGACTGGAGGGGTTCTCCCAGATCCCTCCCTTCTTCCTCAAATATCATTATTAGCCTCTTGCATCATCTGCCATCACTAACCCAGATTTGCTGCCGCCTGCTAATGTTCCAACAGTCAGGTAGGCTTCTACTTGAAAAATGAAAATAAACACACGAAAAAAAATTTAAGAAATCAGTAAAATAACCTCTTGCTCTTTATTTTCACCATAAGGACTGACAAAACGTAAAATTCTCCTAAATCAGAACTCAATACAGAAGCTAAATGGTAAGCTAGCATCAGAAAGCTTACCTTCTGGTGCCAGTTCGTTATGGAGGCAAGGTGAAGGGACCCTCTGCCTGTCTCCTCCCCTTCCTCCAAAACCACATCTCAAAGCTTCTCACTAATAAACATGCTTCTAACTTGTGAAAGCTGAAGTTACACAGCACATGCTAGAATTCTGGATTACATATAGCTTAAAAAAAATAAAATCTGTACTTGTTGTAAATACAGGCTTAAAATTTGTATGGGTCAAAAATCTAAGCAGTACACCTACAGAAACATAACAAGTCAATTAAAGTGGAAAAGAATATATTGGAATAGTAATGAATTGGTTCTGGTTGCCCTTCTTCAAGACAAGTTGGGTTGTATTTTTTTTGTACTTGTACCAAGAGACTGTATGACCAAGCTCAGGAAGTACCTTCACCAACAAAGAGTTTCTTAAGCCAAAATCTCAAGATGATGTCTACCAGTTCTTTATGACAGTGCTGTACCTTGTTCTGTCACGTATTTTTATATAACATGTAATTTAATATTAGTCTTCAAGCATTTTGTGTCTTTGCAAAAAATAAACAAACAGACCCCCACCAACCACACCCACACAAATCCCCCCAAAATCCTTCTGTAATTTTGAGCACTACATCTTTCATCTTGTTATTCAAACAAGCAACAAGGAACTTCTTTTAAGAGTTCTTTGGTGCAGGAAAAACTTCTCTCAAGAAAGTAATGCTCATACTTGCCATTGCTTGGCTGCAGCAAACTAAAATTCTTGAAACAAGAAAGATCAAAAAAAGAGGTGCTCCATTTGCAAGAATATTCACATGAAAAATTTCACTTATAAAACTGCCTTAGGAATAATCTGTTCCTTGTTATAAAACACTTGGGGATGCTTTACAGTTCCAGCTCACTGGAAGTTTTTCACTTAATGACACCACATGCAGCACAGACAGGACTGGCGAGTACCAGCCCAGGCTGGCCTGAGAAACTCAGTGCTGCAAGCAGCTCAGAGAAATGAGCTGGACTGTGCCACCATGTCTGTCCAAGAGCTGTGGGTGCAGATGTACCTTCAGTTGCTGGAAAAGCCGTGACTTCTGTCTGGATTGTGAAAGAGGAAATGATGCAGCAACAGGACCAAATTGCAGGTTTGATTTCATCAGGCTACAATGAAAACCTCCACATGCAGTCATCTTAGACACGTTCTTTTGCCTTCCCTTGAACTGCCTTTTCAATAATTTTGTTCTGACAGGCTGTCACAGTTGCCAAAATAAATGGCCCTGCTTAGCCATGGACACTTTATTCAGTACCACATTAGATAGAATAAATATTTGCATGCTGTGCATGAGACAATTAGGAACTGGATAAGACAAAAATAATAAGAACGGCTGTAAAAGGTTAATTTTCATCCAGATCAGTTTTTCTGCAGGTGGATCAGATCGTGTAGAATCAGTAAAGACCAAGTTGAAGCAAGGGTGAGCAGTGCTGCTAGCTAAAATTACTGTAAACCTTCAGCTTTAGAGAAGAGGTCTGCTTTTGTTGATACAGAAAGAAAATGAATGATATCTAGAACTCATTTTAGATCCTTAACTTACTAGAAGTAGTGGCTTGGCCTTGCCTGGCTATGTCTCCATCTGCTTTGGCTTAGGTACAGTCCTCATGAAGCATTACGCTATGGGATATTTCAGGCGGGATTTGCAGAGTTACTCTCACAAAAAGGACAGCAAATCAAACCTTCACATGAAACACCTACCGAGGCAAACACACTCAGTAACATCCATCAGCAGTAGTCACAACACACTACAAAGGTTTAAATCTTAGAGACTGGGAAGATGCCAGTAATTTAAAATAAATTTACAACTCCAGATACTGCCTTGAAAGAAGGAGCATCTTCAGAAGTTTGAAAGCTGCTTTCAAGTGTTACTGAGAAACAGAACAGAAGCAAGTCTGAATCTACTTTCCATTACACAAACGGGTGAAAATTTCTGAGGTTGCTTAATTTCCATTGCCCATATGTAAGGAAAATGGGGACCACAGATATGTGCATACTTGGACATACTCAGATTTTAATAATGCACTTCAGCCTTGAGGTTAGGATAGCCATGTACACATCAATACCCATAGGTCTCTAACAGCAACAACATTTAGATAGAACTCCACAGTTTTACAACTGATTTTCCAGCCTTTCTCTGAGTGGGATTAGTTCACCACAATAAAATGCACTACCACCACCATAATTCTCCCTGGAGCCTTAACATCTACATTTTGTAGTTGGTATGCAGCACTGGCATCTAAATACTATACGGGGCATGTTTGCTCTTTTGTGGATAGGTCCATGCCAAAAAACTTTTAAGTTGCACATTCTTTCCCCTTTTAAAGCTGTACGCTAATACCATAAAGTTAACTAAGCAGAGTTAACAAGCTGTTGCACAATTGAGCTGCACATGTACTTGAAAAAGCACTGAGCAGCCTACATACTTGCTTCCATAAGGCCTCTAAAGGAGTACTTCTAAGCAGACAAATTATATCTGGCACTGCACAGGTGCACTGGAATGGAAAGGCACAAGGTGTCCTCTCCCCAAAGTGCACTCACACAGCAAGCAATATGAAAATAGCTGAAAGGGCTAAGAAGCCCTCCTCCACCATTTCTTTGCCCCCCATACAGCAGCAGTAGTACTGACAATAGCAACATACTTCTATATTGTGTTTGCATGGAAAAGTTTTGGTAGTGGGGAAGCTACTGGGGTAGTTTCTGTGAGAAGCCACTAGAATCTTCACCTCTGTCTGACAGAGCCAATGCCGCCGGCTCCAAGACAGACCCACCACTGGCCAAGGGCGAGACCACCAGCAACAGTGGTAGTGCCTCTGGGATAACAAAGAGTTAAGAAGGGGGAAAAACTGCTGCACAACTGCAGCCAGAGAGGGGAATCAGAATATGTGAGAGAAACAACTGTTCAGACACCGAGGTCAGTGCAGAAGTTGGGGAGGAGGTGCTCCAGGCACCAGAGCAGAGGTTCCCCTGCAGCCCATGGTGAGACAGCTGTGCCCTGCAGCCATTCAGGTAACGGGGGAGCAGAGATACACCTGCAACCCGGGGAGGACCCCAGGCCAGAGGAGGCGGACATGCCCAGAGGAGGCTGTGACCCCGTGGGAAGCCCACGCTGGAGCAGTCTGTTCCTGAAGGACTGCACCCTGTGGAAGGGACCCACGCTGGAGCAGTTAGTGAAGAACTGCAGCCTGTGGGAAGGACTCACATTGGAGAAGTTCATGGAGGACTGTATCCCATGGGAGGGACCCCACACTGGAGCAGGGTAAGAGTGTGAGGAGTCCTCCACTGAAGAGGAAGGAGCAGCAGAGCCAATATGTGATGAACTGACTGCAAACCCCATTCCCCATCCCACTGCGTCACTGGTGGGGAGGAGGCAGAGAAATCCAGGGTGAAGTTGAGCCGGGCGAGAGGGAAGGTGTTTTTAAGATTTGGTTTTATTTCTCATTATCCTACTCTGATTGGATTGGTAATAAATGAATTTTTCCCCAAGTCAAGTCTGTTTTGCCTGTGATGGTAATTGCTAAGTGATCTCCCTGTCCTTGTCTTGACCCATGAGCCTTTCGTTATATTTTCTCTCCCCTGTCCATCTGAGAAGGGGAGTGATAGAGCAGCTTTGGTGGGCACCTGGTGTCCAGCCAGGGTCAACCCACAACAGCTTCTTTTTGACTATTCAGGAGAGTAGCACTTCACACAGCACCTCTGTAATCATGTCACTCCACCCCTCTCTGCTGCCTAGTGGGTATAAAAGTCTTCCAGCAGTCCAGTAAACCATTTATCCATTATAAGAATCCATAGGAAGTCCTATACTAAAGTTACGTACTTTAAACTGTATTTAAAACCAGGGTGAAGGGTGGGGGGGGTTAGCTGTTTGGTTTTTGAGGTTAGATTTATTCCTTGCCCACCCCCATCCAGTAGGAAACCAGAGGGAGAGCTAGTGCTGTTTCATTTTCTCACCACCATTTACCAGAACTGGACAGTATTCCGCTGCAGGTTTAAACAGAGGCCAAAGATCCTCCTTATATATGAAGGCCACTCGTCTTCATGATTCCCTTTTGTTTTATGAAAGCTTATCCTGAGCAAGCCCACCTTCTGGGGCTAACCGATTCTTACAACATCAGCATGTCCCTCCCATCCTGGCAATCTTCTTCTCACTCTTCTTCCTTCCTTGTATTGTGTGAGCAACCCCAGAGTACCACATCACAGCTGAAACAGTTTGGATAGGACTTCCCTTTCCTACAAGCTAGAGGGACAGAGTCCTTCAGATCCCCATCCTACACCCCTGAGCTGATACACTACCATTCCTACAAGATGAGGAAGCCAAACCAATTAAACTAGACGCACCTGCATTTGTTGCCATTTGTATCACATCAGTGGTAGAAAGCAATACACAATGGCATCAACATGACCAGGCCTGAGAAAGTCACACTTTGCCCCTTACATTTTCCTCTACAATATCCAATATAGTTTGTACTGTTTTTAAAAACACCACTGGGGAAAGAAAGCCATAAAGGTACTTTTATTATTTCAATGTAATATTCTTTGTAAGAGAGACATTTGCCATTTTATAACCGCACTACACAGTCAACTAGCAAGCTTTCACGGAAAAGGAAGTGGGATAGCTTTAGAAATGTCTGTATCTTTTAATGAAATTGTAATCTAGGAAGTACACAGCCTTTCTCACAACTAACTAAATAAACAGGAGCTATACACTGATCTTAAACTGAAGCAGTGAGGTAGCTACTAAGGTAAATGTTCAGTTCAGTTTCAGTTCCAAAGCTGGCTTAAACTACTGTTAAGCATCTGACCTTCTGCACTGAAATCCATAAAGTTTTAGTCTCTAGGAGTAGAAGTCTTGAATTTGTTTTTCATCCTAATTTTTTCCTATTTCACTTACATTACGCAACTGCTCTCACAAGGCTAATTTACCTATACAATAAATGTATGTGTGCCATAGCAGAAAAACATACATTTAAGAACTGGCTATTCAACAGGAATGCTGTTACTTTTATGTCCACATTAACTTTTGGAAAAAAATTAATTTTTTGCCTTACGAAAAATTTTCCAAGTACTTAAAAATGGACTCAAAAGTTAAATAAACTCTTAATCACTAGACAAATTTGTCACTTTTTCTATACTAGAAAAAGTCATAGCTAACTGGCTAATGAAATCCTACAGGCAAGGATTTTTTTTGTATTATTTATAAAGAAAGTATTACCAAAAAAGAGCAAGAGAAATATAAGTGCAAGCAGCTAACATATATTAAAAGACAGAGAAATGGGTAAGTAATGCCATTCTTCACCAGTTTAAATTGTTTTGAAGAAATTACATCTCTTACAACGCTTAATAATTTTGACAATGTGCTTACATCCTCGCCATGTAAGATACGTACTTTCCTCAAACCTGGCTGGTTTAGACAGCAGGAAGCAAGATATTTGTACAAGAAGAAGAGAGGAATGAAGGGCCAAGAGGCCCCAGAGCAGTTGGAAGAACAGTTGTTCTGGATGGAGAAACACAGGAATGGGGCAGAGGTGAGTTGAAGACCTTCCCAACCCCCATTTAACTCCTTCATTTCTCTTAGTTTGGGCAATTAAAACCCAACAGTTCAGTTTTCAATGGATTTCACTTTAAAATTCCTGGACTGAGTCCATACCTGTGCCTGGTAGCTCCTGGAAACAGCTGGTAGGAGCAGTGGGAGAGGAGGCACCCAGCAGTGATCTCCTCATGGCTTAGCCTGTCTGTGGTCCCCAGTGCCAACATGGCCAACAGACCATCAAGGTGCAACACAATGGCTATGGGAGGTGGCCGACAAGCAAGGCTTCTGCATTTTCAAAAGCAGATTTCAACCCAAGATAAACCAAAACTGGTTCTCCTTCATCTTCCACTGCAATTTCACATTCATAAGCAGCTTTTACCCTTCAAAATGAACTTTACTATCAACACCAACAAATTCATGGCAGCACTGTAGGACTTGCCATTTACTCTCACCTCTTGCTGCCAACATCAACAACTTCATGACACCATTTATCCTCACCCCAGGAATTCAAGCTTACCCCACTAGCAAAACCGTTCCTGCAACTGTTCAAAGGTGACACCATCTTTTCTATTCCCAACATCTCTGATTCTACAGATCAGAGTTTTAACAGCAATCCTCTTAGCTGTAAGAATGGCCACTCTTTTTCCCCTTCCCTGCCTAACAGCATGGCTAAGAAACCATGGCCACACATTCCAGCTCTACATCTGGCAAAGAGTTATCCAAACAAGAGGAAGTCGTAGCTATCCATGTAGAGTAAGCTCGCAGCTCCTTGCACACCGGCAACATACATACCACACAAAATGGTGGTATGTTGACAAAGCATCTGAGCCTACACACACTAGGACAACTAGGCAGCATTATCATTCACAAATTGCCCAAAACTAGCTTTCTTTAAACAGAACTTAGAAGTATTCCCATCAACGCCTGACTTTGTAAAACTGTGTTCCAGACTTAAGTTTTGGCTCAAACTGGATCCATCAACAAGAATTCAAGAGGGGCTGAAAGCCAGCTACATGCCTAGTCAACTGTTAAGACTAATGCTTACAATCTTAACTGTACTTGGGTGTCATCCTGAACTTTGACAGTAACCCTTGGGCAACTGGCTATGTGGTAGCATTTAGGCACCACATACGTGTCAGGAGAACAGGACAGACTTTCCGAAGCAGTTTGCTGGAAATGACAGTGAAGAAGTTTAGGTGCTTCTGCAGCTTACAAACTGTTCACAACTGACGGAGCAGGTCTATCTGCCACCCCCTTCCTTCTCCTCTAGAAAAATAGCCACTTTACAGTGGCTAAAGTGGCTGGTTTGGTTTAGAAAGCCTGTAATCTAGCAGGTTAATATATCCTCTTCTCCTGCACCTCTCTTCCTCCTTTGGAAGCTTCTGTGTTCCTGGAATGTCAGCTGGAGGGTAGTCACTCACCCTGCCATCACCTCCTGGTAGCCAGTCCTCAGCCATCCCAGCAACTTGTTAGCTAGCATTAGAGCATGTTTTTTGGATTAATAACCCTTGTGAACACAGAGCTTCTGCCCTACTGAATAACAGTGGCCCTTCCAAGCTCTGGTTTGACTCAGGGCACAAGCAGCTCATTAACTATCAGATGATTCAGCACTTGGTGCCTACATTTCTGCCGGCTGGTTTTCATCAGCATCCAGACTACAGCTTTGAAGGTATATCATTTACATGATACAATCAGACACCTGAAGAGGCACACAGGTGTCAAGTCCCTCCAGCTCCAAGCTGGTACTAGTTTTAGGCAATACATCCTGCTCCTAAATTCTCTTCAGTATGCGTCTTTATAATCACATTCCCCAGAAAAATCCTGACTGTAACAGTCTGTTACTTTTTTTTCCCCCCAGGGCTTTCAGAAAGAGATCATGCACAAAAAAGAAAGGGGTCAAAAACAAGATCTCCAGTCAATGAGAGGAAGACTGGTAACAAGTCCCAGGCAGAGGGAAGACAATCTCCACTTTTCACACTCAGGAGAGGAATTAGTCCCACCAAAACCACCCATGCACAAAAGGCTGCTGGCTGAGGTCCCTCCCCGCCTCCAACAATCCCTTCCGATTTACTCATGGCCGCTAATCTCATTAGAGTTCCTATAATTAAAGCTCCATAATATCTGATCGAGAACATAGTACACTGTTTAAATTAACTAAACCAAAGTCCTTTAATATAAGAATGAATTCTCCAAGAAAATTACTAAATTTACAAAATAAAGCATCACTAATGAGCATAGGATCAAAACTGGATTATCAAGTTTCCTAATCTGCATGTAGAAAAAGCAGGCAGTCAAATCACCAAGTTTTCTATAAAATTTTTATGACTTTATCAGAAAAGCGAAACAAGTATAGATACGTTATATATATGCATATAGCTTCAAATATTTATTAGAGAACATATTGAACTTTACGTATGTTAGGAAACAGCAAATGTTATTTCAGTTTAGTCAATACTGGCTAAAAAGCAAGGAGTGAGATTGTTGCTCTGAATAGCACTTGTCAGGTTTACAGATTAGGGAGATGAGACAACACATAAAAACCTTAGCATCTTTACCAGTCCAGGATAAATTAAATATAAAAACCCAGTTAAACTTTATATCTTCTCCCTCTCAAGTCAGAATTCTTCCCATATCTATTTGTTTATTTTTAAAGACAATTTATGAACACTCCCCCCCACCCCTAACACACAAATGGACAAAAAGCAAAACCAGGCGCAAATACTCCCTCTGACTCAGACATACAAGCAGCTGGGAGAGGTTAGGAAGTGAATCACTCATTTAGCAAACCTAAGTGTGCACACGGCTTCTGGAACAACCCAGGTTTGGTGCCCTGTTAAATGGAGAGGAAGGTGGAAAGTAAAGGAGATGTGAATGCAATATTACATGTGTGAGATTGAGTGCCCTGGTTCTTCCCCCCTCCCGTCCCCAGTTTGTATGCCGGATGCACGAGTGTAGAAGCCCACAGCTCACAAATGAAGGGGAAACGGTTCTTCCACCCTGCTGACCCTGACCTCACTCAACACGTACCTGAGAGCCAATGGAGAGGGCCTCTATCAGCACCAGGGTCCTGGAAGAACACTGACATTTCAAACATTCATATTCTTCAGCCTCATCCATTTCACATTTGTGATTAAGCATAAGAACAAAGAACAGCTTTGGGCTGCACTGATTGCTGGAGATGGGGTTTGTTGGGACCTGACCCAGGCTCTGTGAGACCCGTACCAGGTCCCAAGGCGCAAGAGCCCCAACCTCTCTGATGCCAACCCACCACACATACCTACTCCTTTCTCAATTTCTCTGGGTCACAAGAGAATAAAGTCACAATAATTTTTTGTGAATAGCAGATACACTGGTTATAGTCAGACTCTGAAAAGCCCTGAGAGGTCTGTGAATATTAGGCCAAGAGAAAGAATAGCTACATTGAGGCAGAGGTAAAATTAGGCAATTTACCAAAAGTCAGGCTCCAGATCAGCCTGGGTGCTCCAGGCTCACCTGCTAAGCTTCTACACCAGCCATTAAATCTTTGAAAGGGATTATGCAGCAAGGTGCTGGTGATAAGAGAGACTAGATTTGACCTCTAAGGACCTTCCAATGTGACATTCCTAAATCAATTACCCTCATTTTCCAGCATGCCAGTAACACTACGAGCAAACTCCGCAACTGAAGTATTTTCATCTGGATAACAGTCATTCCAACAATGACTAAAACTTCAGCTGATTTTCTGATCTATAAAGAGCTCCAAGGCAGGAGTTTTGATGCTGCTATACGTTTGCATAAAAGAGGGCAGAGTGCACTAACAGGGTTTTTACTTTGCTACTCCATTAAGCATCATTCCAGAAACCACGATGAAACCATCATCAAGAACCCAGCTTTCTTCAGTGGGAAAATGCACACAGAAATTAAAGGCAACATGAATTATTTTTAGTGTTCTACTTCTGCCAACATACTCCACATTTTCAGCATGGAAGACCACTCCTCCAGAGACTTAAGAGTCAGCCAGTGTCCTTTCAAACAAAGGGCACAGATTGCTACTTCTCTGTCAAGGAAACCAGACCTAAACAATACATATTGCTGCCTGGGATTTTGTTTATTGGTTGGTTTTGTTTGTTTTCAATTTTAGGTACATTTCTAAATCAAGCTGACTGTATCCAAACTGAAAATCTGCTAAAATTTTCAAACAGAAACAGCTTTTCAACACTTACTCCTTTTGAACTTTTGGTAACTTTTCTCCTTTTCTTTGCTACACAAAGCGCTAAGTCTCAAAGGTGAAAGGCGACTTTATTCCTATCCTACATTGCCTTTCCATTCATCCTCCCCAGAAACTCCTCCAATATCACTGACATGGAGAAGCCTTTTCTCTCCCCTCTGGATGAGTCACAGGGTCCTTCCACAGCACAAAGGAAAGATATATCACTTCTTTTTCTTATATCAAAGAAATATCACTTTCTTTTTCTTTTCAAAAAGGAAGATAGGGGAAGAACATATTGGGCTGTTATTTGAGGGTATTTTGTTTCCTTTTTCCCCTGAACAAACTTATTAAGCAACTAAAACTTTGCCTGGTCAATCTCCCTCCTCAAGATCAGTACCCCTGCTGCAGACATCCCGTCATCTGCATCTGTATCCTTGTCCCATCTTTTATGTACCGCAGTAAGTTCCCATAAAGCTATCTGCCAAGCAGACCTTTTCATAGTTGCTGGAATAAGCTTTGCAGAGCACTCAGCGATAGCACTGGCTTCCTTGAAGAGGGCATCCCTGCATGCACATCCAACAGCTGGCCAATGCTAAACCCACTTCATGAGGCATATACCTGGGCCCCAGGCCAGCCAATCTGTTTCTGCCACCAAGCTGCTGGACCATCCTCCAAGCATCCAGCCTAAACCAGGCAGAAGAGTTTTTTGGTATAGCTTCAGCTACCGGATCACACAACTCTCAAGAGATCACCTGCAGGTACCTGCAGAAGCTAGAGAAGAGCATCTTGTCACCACATCACTTTGCAATTTCTAGTTTCAAAAACAATATTCTGACACATGACCTCAGTAGCAAATACAAAGGTGGCACAAACATGCACTGGCAATATACTCTAAAAACTTACTGGGAGTTTCCAGTCCACCACTTAACTACAAATCAAATCATCCTGGGCTCTGTGCATGAAGTCCGGAGAAGGCTTAAGTGTTCCCGAGTTTCAGTGCCACAGGAGACATAAAAAACACAACCCCATTTCTTCCATCATCAGCTCCCACGTTAAGCCTTTCCCTGTTATCTAAATGTAATGACAGTGGTCCACAAAAATGCTAGGTTACGATTAGCCAGAACAAATGCTACCAGCATTAGTAAATGCCACATAGGCTACCAGTGCCTGGAGAGAAGCACACCCTTCACTTCAGCCAGCACATGCAATTTCCAAGCAGTGAAATGTTCCCTGGTCAGAACAGCCCGACAACTATTTTGTCCCAATGCACACAGCCAGTGGGAGCACAGCCTGTCCCAGGATGGCTCCCAACAGGTGTAAAAATGCATTCTACCAAACCAGCACATCTCCACTGAGCACATCCCAAAAGTTTCTGTTGAATAAAAACATAAAGGTGGTAAGCAAAGAGTGTATTTGGTTTTGGTTTTCCCACATACCCATACTTCTCCCATTGCTCTTTGCGTTTAGGGCATGGCTACACTAGTGGCAGAAACAGCGCACAAGTGTTTTGTTATGCTAAACTAGCTGCTAGCGACAGGGCTTTGCTTTCAAGCTACTGACTGCTGTTGGAAACGGCAGTTCAGACCGACAGTGATGAAGATACAAGCAGCCTATCCGGGAGTAGCGATCTAACCAGGATGAGCAGCTACCTGCCCAGGATGGAAAAGTTGTTCCGTTTTGTGGTTTTTTTTCCCATAAAGAAGTTTTTGTTTACTGTTGTAACTGTGATTCTTCACGAATAGTCGCCCAGACCCCCTCCGCTGTTTTAACCTTACATAATTGGCGCAATACGAAGCGCAATGTATTCCGAGAGGCACAGGCCGAGCGGCTCCCAGTCCACCAAGGGCACACCGAACGGACAGGCGCTGAGCGGTGCGAGGGGCTGCGGGACGGACGCCGAAATCCCCAGCCCCACAAGTCGCCTCAGAGGCAGCTGCTAACGCCCCCAAACTCTGTCCCTTAGCGTTCTTTGCCCACCTCTTTAAATGAAGCTGGTGCCAGCCACGTAACAGCAAGAGTTTGAGAATTCAAAGCGAAAATTCTTTAGAAGATGGGCAAGCGCCTGAAAACATAAAAGCGACCGACCCGACAGGCTGTGTAACGACGCGCAGACAAACACTTCGGGAACAAACGGTCATTAAATTACCCGCTCGCAGGCAGGCTGCTGCCAAACCCGTCA